GTCTAATAAGATACTTAATAGGATTTTTATTTTTAAATATTTGAGATTTGTTTTGTGGCCTAACATATGGGCTATACTGGAGAATGTTCCATGTGCTGATGAGAATATGTATTCTGCAGCTGTTGAAAGAAATAGTCTGTAAATGTCTCTTAGGTTCATTTGGTCTATAGCGTATTTTAAGTCTGATGCCTCTGTGTTGATTTTCTAGACCATAATCTGTCCAATGCTGAAAGTGGGTGCTGAAGTCCTCAACTTATTGTACTGGGGTCTCTCTCTTTTTCTCTAGTAATATTTACTTTATAGATCTGGGTGCTCCAGTGTTGAGTGCACATATATTTACAATTGTTATATCCTCTTGCTGAATTGATGCCTTTATCATTATATAATGACCTTTTCTCTTTTCGTTTTTTGACTTAAAGTCTATTTTGTCTGATCTAAGGATAGCTAGTCCTACATGCTTTTAGTTTACATTTGAGTGGAATATCTTTTTCATCCCTTCACTTAGTCTATATGCATCCCTTTAGTGTGTTTCTTATAGGCAGCATATAGCTGGATCTTGTTTTTGTTAAATTTATTTTACAACATTTATTTTAGAGACAAGGTCTTGTTTTGTCACCCAGGTTGTAGTGCAGTGGCAATCATAACTCAACTGCAGCCTTCAACTCCTGAACTCAAACTACCCTCGTGCCTCAGCCTCCCAAGTAGCTGGGACTACAGGCACATGCCACCAGGCCCAGTTAATTTTTTTTTTTTTTTTTTTTAGAGATAGTGGTCTTGCTATGTTGCCCAGGCTGGTATTGAACTCAAGCGATATCCTCCTACCTCAGCTTCCCAAAGCATGGGGATTACAGTTGTGAGCCATCATGCCTTACCTGGATCTTGTTTTTCTAACCCACTCAGCGTGTGTGTGTGTGTGTGTGTGTGTGTGTGTGTGTGTGTGTGTGTGTATATATTTTTTTTTTTTTTTTTTTTTTTTTGAGACAGAGTCTCACTCAGTCGCCCAGGCTGGAGTGCAGTGGTGCGATCTCAGCTCACTACAAGCTCCGCCTCCCAGGTTCACGCCATTCTTCTGCCTCAGCCTCCTAAGTAGCTAGGACTACAGGCGCCTGCCCCCAGGCTAAAAAATTAGCCTGGCTAATTTTTTTTTGCATTTTTAGTAGAGATGGGGTTTCACCGTGTTAGCCAGGATGGTCTCGATCTTCTGACCTCGTGATCCGCCCACCTCGATCTCCCAAAGTGCAGGGATTACAGGCGTAAGCCACTGCGCCCGGCCTATTTTTTTTTTTAATTGTATTTTTTTGGAGACAGTCTCGCTCTGTCATGCAAGCTGGAATGCAGTGGCATGATCTCGGCTCACTGCAACTTCCGCCTCCCGGGTTCAAGTGATTCTCCTGCCTCAGCCTCCTGAGTAGCTGGGATTTACAGGCACATGCCACCATGCCCGGCTAAGCAAGGCTATATATTTTAATTGGGAAGTTTGAACTCTTTACATTCAAGGTTGTTATTGATGAGTGAGGACTTATTCCTGTCATTTTGTAATTGGTTTCTGATGTTTTGTATGTCCTTTGTTCCTTTCTTCCTCTTGAAAAATTTTTTTCCTTTCCTTTTTTTAATAAGAGACAGAGTCTCACTATGTTGCCTTGGCTGGTCTCAAACTCTTGACCTTAGGCAATTCTCCCACCTCAGCCTTCCAAAGTGCTGGGATTACAGGGATGAGCCACCATGTCTGGTCCCTTTCTTGTCTTTTGCGATTTGGTGGTTTTCTGTGATGATAATGCTTGATTTCTTTCTCATTCATGTATCTAGTCTATCAGTGACTTTTATACTTTCACATGGTTTCTTTCTATAATTCCCTTTTCCTCCTACCATATCTTGCATACTGTAAGTGCTAATCAATGCTTTGATACCACTTAATATAACTGGAAAGTGATTGTGATAATTGGTTAGCAGCAAGTCTTTCTCAGAAGACCAGCCTTTTGAGCCATTGTTGGTGGGCTGGAGGACAGCAGGGTTGAGAGACTGGCTACAAGTGGCAGCTCTGCTGTTGCCCTCCAACATGGAGCCAAGTTGACCACCTGCCTTCAAGGGAAGCTCTGATGCAGGCAGCTGGATGCCTGCAAGCACACCTGTCTGGGGGCAAGGGAGAAGATGAGAAGGATGAGAAGGAAGTAGATGTATTTTTAAGGAAATCATTGACTTCTGATGGGGTGTTTTGCAGTTTTTTTTTTTTTTTTTTTTTTTTTTTGAGACGGAGTCTCGCTCTGTCCCCAGGCTGGAGTGCAGTGGCCGCATCTCAGCTCACTGCAAGCTCCGCCTCCCGGGTCTACGCCATTCTCCTGCCTCAGCCTCCCGAGTAGCTGGGACTACAGGCGCCCGCCACCTCACCCGGCTAGTTTTTTTTTTTTTGTATTTTTTAGTAGAGACGGGGTTTCACCGTATTAGCCAGGCTGGTCTCGATCTCCTGACCTTGTGATCCGCCCGTCTCGGCCTCCCAAAGTGCTGGGATTACAGGCTTGAGCCACCGCGCCCGGCCGATTTCTTATAGCTTTTTGTTTTGTTTTTCTTAGAAAGTTTCTCTGTCATCAGGCAAAGACCAGGATGGGAACAGGAAAACTAGAAAACTAGTCAAGGGAGAACAAGTCCCTTTTCCTCTCATCAGTGAACAGCAGGTGAGGAAGCAGACTCTGAGAGGAATGCTATTCAGGATGGCTTGCTGCCTGCATGGCATGAGGGGCTGTCTTGTGGGTGCTGGCGGCCATAATCTCCATTTTTCCGAAGACCACCATTTATGGCTAGATTCAATACAGGTCCAGACCTTTCTCGACACTGCTGGAGAGGAAGTGTGTGCCACAGTCAGAGGAGATAGCCATGGGAAATGGAAGCATGGGACGAAGGGGAGGGGAGGGGAAGAGAGATGGGTGGCTCTATGTTAATCTTAGGGTTCCTTCTCTGCCCTTTTGGGCACCAGGGACAGATTCTAGGAAAGGAATTCTGCAGACAGTCTTGGAAGCACCTTCTCTGGCACTTAAGGCTTTTTCCTGAATTTCAGAGACAGAAACATATTCATCCTTGAGCAACTGCAGTGAGGCAGTGTGGAATTCTAGGGTGTTGATAGCTATGACTACCAGGACTGTTGGACATTTGCATTCTGGCATTTTCATTCCTTGTCCTAAGATTTTGACTCTTTGCCATATTCTTGGAACTCCTGGATCTTTCTGGAGTCTGATAGAGGATCAAAATCACAGCTCCATTCAGCAAACCCAGAAGCTTCTGGGGGAGAGCTAATGGTCATTTGTTCATCATGGATCAATTGTTCAAGATCAAGCACCTTTCTGATATCTCTTGTCCACAGAGAAAAAACACATTACTCCACAGGTGGCTTCTCAGATTTGCTGTCTAGTTGCCAACCTGAGAACTTCCTTGGAAGCATGGCTTCTGCACAAATGGGTTACATTGACTGAACCACAGTGGCTCTTAAAACAAGGTTTTTGACCTAAGGAGCCTGTTCTCCAGGCTGACCTGAACCCCTCAAAGACATGGCAAGCAGGTGACATTTCTGCCCATGGGATTTGCTGAGAGATCTGGAAGGTAAAGAGCCACCTTAGGCTTCAAAGGGTGAGTGAATTTTTACCACGAACCCCAAAGGGCTGATTTGACTTTCTCTATTACATATATCCAACAGAGAGAGCAGGCTTGGGGAAATTTTGTCTGCACTCAGAAAATTCATCAGTTTCTTGGGAATCATAAGTTATTACACTTGAAAGACCAGAGAATGGTTATTCCCCAACACCAATTTGGGCCTGAATTTTCCCATCTGATGTGTCTCTAACATGTGAATCAGTCCCACCTTCCCTGACCACGAGTGAAGTGTTCTGTGATGCTTGGCTGTAGATGCAGTGTGACAACTGCCTGAAGCACATGATCTCAGGCACCAGATGGCACTGCTGCTCAGTACAGTCATATGCTAACAGCATTCTCCCCAACTATTAAGATTTATTGTTTTGTTTAAGCAAAGACCAAAGAAGCAGCGAAGATACAATTAAAATGGCAATCCTTGCTGAGCGCGATGGCTCACGCCTGTAATCCCAGCACTTTGGGAGGCCAACGTGGGCAGGTCACTTGAGTCCAGGAGTTCGAGACCAGCCTGGTCAACATGGTGAAACCCCGTCTCTACTAAAAATACAAAAATTAGCCCGGCATGGTGGCACACGCCCATAATTCCAGCTACTCGGGAGACTGAGGCAGGCAAATTGCTTGAACCTGGAAGGCAGATGTCACAGCAAGCCAAGATCGCACCACTGCACTCCAGCCTGGGAGACAGAGCAAGACTCTGTGTTGAAAAACAAAAAAGGCAATCCTCACCATGGTGAGATGCAGCCACACCCAAAGGACCCCAAAAGTGGCCTTATGGTAGCAGGAGGATCCTAAATGTGGATCCTCACAAAGGGAATGCAGCCCAAGTTGAAAGTGCTTCTTCCTTTGCTAAGGAAGTGATTATGTGAATAACCTCAGTATTCTCAATGGGAAAGTATCTGGCAATAAATTTGTAGCCACAACTTGGAAGTTTCTGGAAGAAGTCAACCTCCCACAGTCACCTTTGGCTGACTGCTTGTGTTAGGTCTGTAGACTTCCTTTCAATCAGCCTGCAAAAGTCCCATCTGGCCATTTGGTCACAGTTTAGCATCACTTCCTGGGAGTGGGCCAGCTTTATAACCAACCTAGAAAGATCAGGTTGAATTTGGCTTTAGAGATCTGAAGCTCCTCAATTTTCTTCCCTCTTTGGAAGTTTTATTAGAATAATCTCTATCCTTTTCTGTCCTCTTCCTAAGTAACCTAGTCTCAAGGCTCGAAGCTTTAAAGGCAAACCTTAAAATATGTTGCATCAGAAAGCCAAGACAGAAAGCCGATCACCTAATAGGCTATTGTAATTTCAGGCTCCAAATAACTGTTAAAAGTGGGTATCTTCTGTTCTGCCTAAAAGAAAGAGGCTGAAATGTCAATTATCATTTAGAGTTATGAGTGAATTGCATTTTTATTTACATTTAAGAGTCTCTCTCCCTCCTTGTGTTCTAGTCTGTGAATGGCTCACACCTGGACTTAGTGTAGGCTCCTAGTGGGAGGAGCGGGGAATAGTGAGAATTCTCATCAAATGGAGTAACATGACCCAAATCTCTAGAGGTTTCATAATTTTGCTCTTGCTTCTAAAAACACAGTCATCTCTTATGGGGTGTTATGTGCTTTGTATCCTGAAATTTTCCACTTGCTGCTTCTTGGTGTGAAGGGAGAAATGCCAGCATGTGGCACTGCAGGAGGAGACTGGTGGAAGCTGCAGGGCTAGGCCTTCACTTCCCAGTGACACTGTTCCCAATTCCCTCCAGGATGAGCTGAGACTCCTCAGGATGTGGTTCTGCAGCAGATGAGGTGTGAAGAAAGCCTGCTCTGACCTGGGCACCCAGGATGGCACTGAGTTCTAAAAGGCAAAGGGTATGTGGTGAGGGGCCAGGCTGAGGCCCTGGTGTGGTACCATCATGGGCAGCAGCACCATTTGAGGCCAGGTAGGAGAGACGTGCAGGGCCTGGCCCCCCAAGAGACCAACAGACAAACTGAGGCGGCAGAGAGAGAGATTCCAGTGTCATCAGGAAGACTGCAGATCATAACAACAATGGCTGCTGATTTGGCATCAAAGAGGTGGCACTGTCAAAGCCATAAATGCTGAAAATGGCACCAGCATGCTGCAGCTGGAGAGAGTGGGTGACCAACATTTGTTTGAAGAACAGATGACGCTCTTTGAGTGGCTCAGCCAACAGCCCAAAGTTTTAAGGGAAGACCTCTCTGCCAGCTTCAACGTCTCACGTAAAACCTCCGAGGCACTTACATAGCATATTTTTGTGTCCACTCTCTCGCTAGTCTGTTGTACCTGGAATAAAAAAGCAGAGGGAGTGACACCCTCACTTGAAATGGTCACTTCTCTTCAACGTGGTGCAGAGAACAGGACTGATGTGGGGAATGCTGCTACTGCTGCTGCTTGTCAAACATCTGGGGCTGATGGGTAAGTGGAATAAAGGCTTTCCCTGGAGCAGGAGCACATCAGACATGGCTGTAAACCCCCAGCTGGGTGAATCCCTCATTGTGTAAACCCAAAACTGTTGATTCTCCATAACTATCTGCTGTGGAAGATTTAATAATGCAAAGACTTCTTCCCTTTCTTTCACCTGTCCTACAATATGGATGCAGGGAGGACAGAGAAGAGACATACAAAGGTCAGTTTGTACTAGTTACAGGACGTTCAGCACACAAACTCCAGAACAAGGGCTTGGGAATCTGCCTACCGGAGTGTGCATCAGCACCATCCTCAGCAGCTGTTCCACCCCTCTGTGCCCTGGCTTTTTTGATTGCTTGCCATAGTGAGAGTACCTGCCTTGTGTGCTTGTGGGGAAGACTAGAGAAGTCTGTATGCAAAGCACGTGGAGCAGGCCGGGCATCCATTGAGGACTATGCAGGTGTGTGCACTTACTCTCATCATTGTAATAAGATTTGATGCTATGAGACTATAGATTAGAGAGATTTATAGTTACAAGAGGCACTGAAAAAAATCACTTTTGGTATGTCTAAAATATCTCGTAATAAGTGTTAAAATAAACACAAGTTAAACCCCAGTCAATTAAAAATGTTGATTGTTATTGAGAAAACTCCAGTGAGGGAAATAATAAGATCTATAAAGGTCTCAAGAAAAATATAATTTGAAAAAGCCATGTGGCTGAGTGTGGTGGCTCACACCTATAATCCCAGCACTTTGGGAAGCCTAGGTGGGCAGATTGCTTGAGCCCAGGAGTTCAAGACCAGCCTGGGCAACCTGTCTCTACAAAAAATTAGCCAGGTGTGGTGGCATACACCTGTAGTCCCAGCTACTCAGGAGGTTGAGGCAGGAGGATAGGTTGAGCCTGGGAGATCGAGGCTGCAGTAAGCTGTGATCACACCACTGCACTTCAGCCTGGGCAACAGAATGAGACCCTGTCTCAAAAACAAGGAAAAAACATACTCCATTCTAATCTCTTCAGACAGGAAAGAAGTAATGAGTAATGAACTGAAGAACTCACTCACTGAAGATGTCTTTTAAAAGGGCCAGCAATACCTTCTCTGAAGGTCCACAACTGAGATTCACACCACTCACAGGACTGCGACCCCTGCCACACCTGGGCCTCTCTCACAGTGCTGTCAGCACTCAGAGACTAACACTTGGTGATGACCCCTTGTGCCAGCCCTACCAACTATAGACACCCTCATGCTACAGTGCATGTGGTTGTGCCTGGCCTAGGGGGTCGGAATTTTACAATTCTGGTTCTATTAATTGGTGTTTAAACAGAGAGCTGGCAGTGAAGGTTTAACACACTGCTGACTTCTGAGCTGAGCCAGCGAACTGACCACAGCAGTTCAACCTCACCTTCGGTATAGCCAAGCAGACATCCCCTTGTCTTAGGCTATAAACCCTAGAATTTAAATCCAAATTTTTCTTGTTGTCAGATTCTTCTGAGTCTGTTCTTGGCTGACCACTGATTTTGCTAGCCTCGAGGGCAGGACTTGGCAATGTTTTCATATATAGTAGCAGCAGCTAATGAGTTATCCAGGAGGGTGAACTGCTTTTATCTCCCTCTCCCTTCTTAGACTCAAAAGACATGTTAGTGAGAAAGCCAGGAGTCCAAGCCCAGGGCACACCCATGGTGCACATGGCTCAGCATGGGCAGGAAAATGTCCACGGGAACCTGTAGCACAGAAGCACCAGCTCAGAGCATAGGTACCGCATGGAGCTGCCTGGGGCAGCCATGGCACAAAGGCAACCCAAAAAGGATGCATACTTCTCTCTGTCGGCCTTGTAGGTGTGGGCTATCTCTGGCACCAGAGGGTCATCGGGGTTGGGGTCGCAGAGCAGTGAGCAGATGGACAAGAGAACTGGGAAGAAAAGAAAAGGTTGGTCAGCTGTAGCCACGAGGCTGCTAGGTCACCCCTGGGTGAACCTCCCTGAACTTGCACTCTGTATTGACCAAGGAGATGTCTTCCCTTCAACAGCCCAATCTAAACTGCTTGATGTACCACTTGCTCTGTCCCATGTATCGTGTGGCCTCAGGCATGCCATGCTAGGATACTTCCCTCCTGGGTGCATCCTGGCTCTCATTCCCCTTCTCCATTGAAGCACCCCATCTTAGTCTCCAACTGCCCTCCCATCCTTGTCTGCACCCCATATCATGCACCTCTGGCATTTAGTCCCAGGAGTCCTGTTTACTGGTAAGGAAACAAGAATTCAGAGCACTCAAGTAACTTGTCCAAGGTCACAGATTTGGAACACCCAATAAATGGGTAAAAATGAGATTCTGGGCCAGGCATGGTGGTTAATGCCTGTAATCCCAGCACTTTGGGAGGCCGAGGCAGGCGGATCACCTGAGATCGGGAGTTCAAGACCAGCCTGACGAACATAGAGACACCCTGTCTCTACTAAAAAAATACAAAATTAGCCGGACATGGTGGTGCATGCCTGTAATCCCAGCTACTCGGAAGGCTGAGGCAGGAGAGTCTCTTGAACCTGGGAGGCAGAGGTTGCAGTGAGCTGAGATTGCACCATTGCACTCCAGCCTGGGCAACAAGGGTGAAACTCAATCTCAAAAAATATAAAATAAAGAGATTCTGAACCAGGTCTGTCTAACTACAAAGCAGATGCATCCTCCTGTGTGCCAGCACCGTCTCTAGGACGTGCACTCAGTGTGGCTCTCAGCAACCCTGGGAGAAGGGAATCACCCACTAGGTGATTCCAAACAAACTGGATTCAGCGAGTCCATCAAAGTCCTGACCACAGTTCCCCACACATAAAGCTACAAATGACAGAGGCAGGTTTGCCTTTTTTAAGATACTTGGCTAGGCACGGTGGCTCACGCCTATAATCCCAGTGCTTTGGGAGGCCACAATAGGAGAACTGCTTGAGGTTAGGAGTTTGAGACTGGTCTGGGCAACAAAGTGAGATCCTGTCTCCTCTACAGAGAAATTTAAAAATTAGGCCAGGTTCTGTTTCTCTTGGGTTGATTTTTCACAATCCTACCCACGCTCCACCTGCCAGGATACTGCACTGTCTACATTCAGGCCTCTTGTGCACACACAGCCCATGTGCAGCCCATCTTAGTTCAGAAGGAATATCTGCATTTCTAAGCTCAGTTTAGACTGGTTTCTTCAACTTCAACCAGAGACATGTGCTTAATATCATTTATTTGGGAAGGGAGGATTTCTCCACCAACTTTGAGGTCCCCAGGGGCATGCCCTGTATCTTTTTTCAGGGCTGACTCACAGTTCGTTTTGTGCTTATTGGATGAATAAATGAGGGAACAGAGAAGGTAATTTAATATTTGCCTTTCTTATTTTTAGATAAAAAATATAAGTAGAATCAATATTTTCTTCTTGCACCCATGTGACAGTTTGAGCACCCCAGGGCAATGGACTGCTGAGAAGCGCCACGGCGTGGGGCACAAAGTTCTGCTGGTGCTGCCTCATAGGGATGTAAGGATGTCCACTTACAGGCACAGCAGTGGACAGGGCTAAGTGACCTGGGAAAGGTGACTGCTCTCTCTGAGCCTCCATTTTCACTCAGTCAGTGCTGGGGTAAAAATACGTGTAAGAGACAAGGCACACAGAGCATGCCATCGTCGTCTCTACCTTTTGACACAGTCAACGCTGGAGACCACTGAGACCGCAGGATATCAAGGCAGATGCTGCCATTGCTGTTGATATTAGGGTGATAAATTTTGGTTGTGAAAGCAACCTGCAAAGACAAGAGATCCCAAATCAGACAAACCACAGGGACGTCTGGGAAATGAACCAAGTAAAGCAGGAGCAGCCACTGCTGGGCTGTACCTGGAGTGTGCTGCATATCTGGCCCCACAGTGCAGGCTGAGCCAGACACCCACTCCCAAACTCTAATGGGATATGGAAGTGAGTGATCACCCAGAAGTTCCCTGACCCATTCCCTGCTGGATTCTCATTCTGAACATAGGGGGATTGACACCGTCTCCCTGAAAACAGTATGTCCTGAGGAGTAACAAGAGTGGCAGAAAGGACTCAAAAGCCCAGAAGTTTTATGCAAAAAGCAGTGATGTTTTGTTGATGTATCAGCAGAAAAGCCCAGGCCCAAAGACTTCATGACTAAAACACCAAAAGCGATGGCAACAAAAGCCAAAATAGACAAATGGGATCTAATGAAACTAAAGAGCTTCTGCACAGCAAAAGAAACTACCATCAGAGTGAACAGGCAATCAACAGAATGGGAGAAAAATTCTGCAATCTACCCATCTGACAAAGGGCTAATATCCAGAATCTACAAAGAACTTAAACACATTTATAAGAAAAAAATCAACCCCATCAAAAAGTGGGCAAAGGATATGAACAGACACTTCTCAAAAGAAGACATTTATGCAGCCAACAGACATATAAAAAATGCTCATTGTCACTGGTCATCAGAGAAATGCAAATCAAAACCACAATGAGATACCATCTCATGGCAGTTAGAATGGCAATCATTAAAAAATCAGGAAACAACAGATGCTGAAGAGGATGTGGAGAAATGGAAATGCTTTTACACTGTTGGTGGGAGTGTAAATTAGTTCAACCATTGTGGAAGACAGTGTGGCGATTCCTCAAGGTATTCCTCTAGTTCTAGAAATGGCATTTCTAGAACTAAAAATACCATTTGATTCAGTAGTGATCCCATTACTGTGTATATCTACTATAAAGACACATGCACACGTATGTTTATTGCGGCACTATCACAATAGCAAAGACTTGGAACCAACCCAAATGTCCATCAATGATAGACTGGATTAAGAAAATGTGGCATGGCCGGGCGCGGTGGCTCAAGCCTGTAATCCCAGCACTTTGGGAGGCCGAGACGGGTGGATCACAAGGTCAGGAGATCGAGACCATCCTGGCTAACACAGTGAAACCCCGTCTCTACTAAAAATACAAAAAAAACTTAGCCGGGCGAGGTGGCAGGCGCCTGTAGTCCCAGCTACTCGGGAGGCTGAGGCAGGAGAATGGCGTGAACCCGGGAGGCGGAGCTTGCAGTGAGCTGAGATCCGGCCACTGCACTCCAGCCTGGGTGACAGAGCGAGACTCCGTCTCAAAAAAAAAAAAAAAAAAAAAAAGAAAATGTGGCACATATACACCATGGAATACTATGCATCCATAAAAAAGGATGAGTTTGTGTCCTTTGCAGGGACAGGGATGAAGCCGGAAACCATCATTCTCAGCAAACTATCACAAGGACAGAAAATCAAACACTGCATGTTCTCACTCATAGGTGGGAATTGAACAATGAGAACACATGGACACAGGGCGAAGAACATCACATACCAGGGCCTGTTGGGGGGTGGGAGGCTGGGGGAGGGATAGCATTAGGAGAAATACCTAATGTAAATGATAAGTTGATGGTTGCAGCAAACCAACATGGCACATGTATACTCTATGTAACAAACCTGCACGTTGTGCACGTGTACCCTAGAACTTAAAGTATAATAATAATAACAAATAAAAGCTCAGGCCATGGACCCTCTGCCAGGCCACAAACCCTCCCCACCTTTCTATTTCACCCTTTGTAAGACCACCCCCTTCTCAGAATTTAGTCCTAAAATACCCTTGTGCACTTCAAATATGTAAGGATACCCACTGTAACAAAAGATGTGAAACCTAAATGTCTTCAGATTGATTACTGGTTAAATTAATGTTATAAATAAGCAACAGAATATTACACAACTGTTTAAAAAGAATGAGGTGAATTTTTAAAACATGAATGTGATCATATGGAACAATTTCCAAGACATATTGCTATGGGAAAAGCAAGATGCAGATTCATGGAAACGCCTGTTCCATTCATGGGAGAAACAAGGAAGCACAAACAAGTGCTTATCCAGGTGGAGATTACTCCTGAAAGAGAAATGAAATGACAAGTAAGACTCAGTGCCTTGTGGGAAAAAAAAGGCGGGGGGCCGGGCATGGTTAGAGAGACAAAGTTGAAAGAAGGTCCTATTTTCTACTGTATACTCTCCTACATTTGACTTTTTTTTTTCTGTTTTTGTTTTTGTTTTTGTTTTAAACCACAGCCACACACTACTTCTTCAAATGACCTTGGACCTCAGAGCCTTCACTATAAATAGGTACATGGTACCTCTCCCAGGGATGTTGTGGGACCCATGGAAAGTCTGCTCTCTGTGATGTGCAAGGTGTTCTGAGTCAGGTGCAGCTTCCACTGCTACAGGAGCCTAAGAATCTGCCTCACCTACACTCCCTCTGGGTGAGCAGTGACCTCAATGCAGGGGCTGGGGCAAAGGAACATAAGGATTTTGCCGGCTGGGTGTGATGGCTCACACCTGTAATCCTAGCACTTTGGGAGGTCGAGGTGGGTGGATCACAAGGTCAGGAGTTCGAGACCAGCCTGGCCAATATGGAGAAACCTCATCTCTACCTAAAAATACAAAAAAATTAGCCAGGTGTGGTGGCACATGCCTGTAATCCCAGCTACTTGGGAAGCTGAGGCAGGAGAATAGCTTGAATCCGGGAGGCAGAGGTTGCAGTGAGCTGAGATTGCACCACTGCACACCACCCTGCGTCACAGAGCAAGACGCCATCTCGAAAAAAAAACAAAAAAAAGGATTTTGCCTCCTCCGCTAGCTCTGAGAACTCACTGGTACTTCTTAGGCTAGATGGAGATGCACAAACATCCTTTATATAATTATCTACCATTTTTTGCATGTTTGATATAGTTTTTAATATTTTTTAAACTTACTTTGGAATATGAGAAGAGAGTTATGTGCATGTGAGCTCGAATATCTATTACCATATAATTTTTCCCAGAAAGGGTCAAACTTCAAAATCATCTCAGATATTAAGTATCTGCCTCAATATCTCCAATAAAGACCATGCAATCTTGCCAGATTCCTCCTATTGTCAGAAAATTTGTGCCAAAACATAAATCCAGTTGCTCCTGTTCCCTGTAGAAGGAGGTTTTTGAAAGACAGAAGCACTTTCTTCCCTCATAGAATGTCACTGTCACCTTTTAGCTCACATCTCTCCTTGCTAAAATAATCCCAACTCACCCACAGAGCTTACTTCTTAGTCTTTTAATAATAACCACTGTTGGCTGGGCGCAGTGGCTCACACCTGTAATCCCAGCACTTTGAGAGACCAAGGCGGACGGATCACCTGAGGTCAGGAGTTCAAGACCATTCTGCCCAACATGGCAAAACCCCATCTCTACTAACAACACAAAAAATTAGCCAGGCATGGTGGCGGGTGCCTGTAATCCCAGCTACTTGGGAGGCTGAGGCAGGAGAATCACTTGAACCCGAGAGGAGGAGCTTGCAGTGAGCCGAGATCATGCTACTGCACTCTATCCTGGGTGACAAGAGAAAAACTGTCTCAAAAAATAATAATAATAATTTAGAAATAATAATAATCACTGTTTCTCCTTTGTCCTTGGGCAATTAGGTACCCTGAAAATGCCCAACAGACATTCAGGACTACATCCATATCTGTTTAAGGAAAATCCTCAGCTGCTCACACAGTAATGAAAGAGATAAGCTAGAAAATTACTACTTGATAGACACTGCCACAGTCTCTCCAGAGGGTAAGGGAGAAGGGGTGGATCAGAGCACCGTGAAGCATGTTTATGATTTTTCAACCAAACCCCCTTGAACAGCAGTTGTACTCTAATGTGGCAAAGCTATTTTAGCATCTGTCATTGCCCTGCGCAGCACACCCCACTCCCTTGCCAAAAGTTTAAAAGGTCTCTGGGATCCTAAGCATATTTAACCAGGATTTAAAATGCTCAGGCACCACGTAGCCTCTGGTGGTGATGTCTGGACAGAGCTGCAGCTGGCGAGCACAGAAGTGGCTTCTTCACACTGACTCAGATAAACAACACGCAAAACAGCAGCTAAGCCTCTGACTCAAACTGAGTCATCAAGGCCAAGTCAAGGTAGTAAGACACAGCAATGTCACAACCCCTCGGCTAAGGTGTCTGATGCAGATGCAGGACTTTTGAGTAAGTCTTGCCAAAATGCACAACCTGGCCAGGCGTGGTGGCTCACACTTGGAATCCCAGCACTTTGGGAGGTGGAAGCAAGTGGATCACCAGAGGCCAGGAGTTCGAGACCAGCCTGGCCAACATTGTGAAACCCTGTCTCTACTAAAAATAATACAAAAATTAGCCACGTGTGATGGCAAGTACCTGTAGTCCCAGCTACTCAGGAGGCTGAGGCAGGAGAATCGCTTGAACCCAGCCTCCTCCACAAGGCAGCAGAGTGATCGTTTTGGTGTGGCAATCCCCACAATGGCGTGCAGACCCTACTCCTGGGGCCATCCGTACCCCTCTGGCCTCCTTCCCAACTCCTCACACGCTCACTCCCCTGGGGCAGTTTCCTGGGGACCCGTCTGCCCCCTTGCTGAGCTTCTGCAGTTCCCCCTTCTCAGGGCTATCTCCCCACCACCCCAGCTCCTGCTGCCAACCACTGCTTGTGCTCCTCCCCAGTGCTGACAGTGCTGACTGGCTCACACGCTAAATGCCCTGCCTCCTCCACAGGACTGTGAGCCTCAGAGCAGGCTCAGCTACCCATGCAGAGCCCAGGTAAGAAGGAGTATGAGGTGCAAGGGTCCAGGGGATGAGACGACCTGCAGTGCATAATACATGCTAGGGCAGGGTGGTCGAGGCAGCTCCCTGGGCTTCTCCTTCCCTCTGGTGGCACTGCTCTCTAAAACTCCACTGATGGGATGGTGTGTGCATAAAGGGCAAAGGAGGTTTGCTATTCTTTTAACTTAATAAAGGAAAGTGAAGGTGTGACTCACCAGTCCTAAACCAGGGTGTGTCCACCTTGGCACTATTGACACTTGGGGCTGATCATTCTCTGTCACGGGAAGGGAGGCTGTTCTAGGCACTGTAGGGAATCCCTGGGATACCCTGGCCTTTGCCCACTAGATACCAGCAGTACCCCCTCACCACAGTTTTGATAACCCAAAATATCCCAAGATGTTGCCCAAATGTCCCTGGGGCAATAGCAAAATCACCCCAGCAGAGAACCCCTGTCCTAACTCTAAGGGACTGCAGAGAAGGGAGCCAGAGCCTGGAGACATGACCAGACTCAGCTACAGTCACAAGGAAAAGCATTCAAACTGTGGCCTCAGTAAGGAGGCCAGCACCAGCTCACCCCACTGACCCTTGGTCACAACAGGTGCTAATTCCCAAAGTCCAGTGGTTAAAGTCCTGGGAGGCTGTCACCACAGGGTGGAGCGGTGGGCCCTCAGAGAAGCCCCATGTACAGCTCTTTTTACCTATACCTGACTTGAAGGGCCCCTCGTCACATGCTGTCCTTCATTCAAACATCAGGGGAGTTGTGAGGGGCACCTCACCTTTGGGGGCTTGAACGGGTAATCCGTAGGAAAGTGGATGGTCAGGAAGAAAACACCTCCTTGGTAAGGACTGTCATTCTGGAATGATGAGACACAGGAAGAGATCAGTGCATGTGCTAAGCCCAAAGTGCAAGAAGCAAAACTGGAGTGGTGTGCTCAGCAGCTACTACCTACCGGGCCCATGATGGTGGCCTGCCAGTGGAACACTACAAGACAAAAGAGAGATGGGCATGTAAGAGACCCCCCAAGAAACATGTCTATTCTACTGAAAATGCACTGCTAAATTACAGGGCACTGTCCACACGAGATGCACTCACTTCTGACACCAACTGCAAGACTGGGGTTCCCCAAACCACCCAAGATGCGGTAACTGCCTAGGACTCCCAGAGCTCACTGAAAGCGGGTGTGCTCAAGATTGCCGGTTATCCCAGGGAAACAGCATAAGTTAACATCAGGAGGGTCCAAACGCAGAGCTTCCATTCTTCTCTCTCCGTGGAGTCGGGATGTGTTACTCTCCTGGCATTGCTGTACGGCAACACACACAGAGTACCCAATCAGGGATGCTCACTGGAGCCTCCGTATTTAGAATTCTTATTGGGGCTCTACCCTGAGAGCATGACTGACTGATGTGAATGCCCATAGGGCTGATCTCAGGCTCCAGTCTCTGGCTCCTCCAGGCATGATCCAAGTCCCCACCTTATTTTTTTATTTTTTTGAGATGGTCTCACTTTGCCACCCAGGCTGGTGGGCAGTGGCATGATTATAGCTCACTGCAGTCTCAAACTCCTAAGTTCAAGCTATCCTGCCTCAACCTCCTGAGGAGCTGGGACAACAGGTATGTGCCACCACATCTGGCTAATTTTTTTACTTTTTTCATTTTTGTAGAGATGGGGTCTTGCTATGTTGCCCGCGCTAGGCTCTCACCTTAAATCACATGGTTGGTCTACTTGGTGTGGCCATTCCTCACCCTAAATCACACTGTTGGTGTGCATCAAAGCTTCCAGCCAAACAAAGACATTCCTATCAGGTATGATATCTTAGAGATCGCCCCCTACGTGTTAAGGATGATGGCCAGATCTTTTGGGGACAAGATTAAATTCTTTTTTTTTTTTTTTTTTTTTTTTTTTGAGACGGAGTCTCGCTCTGTCGCCCAGGCTGGAGTGCAGTGGCCGGATATCAGCTCACTGCAAGCTCCGCCTCCCGGGTTTACACCATTCTCCTGCCTCAGCCTCCCGAGTAGCTGGGACTACAGGCACCCGCCACCTCGCCCGGCTAGTTTTTTTTTTGTATTTTTTAGTGGAGACTGGGTTTCACCATGTTAGCCAGGATGGTCTCGATCTCCTGACCTCGTGATCCGCCCGTCTCGGCCTCCCAAAGTGCTGGGATTACAGGCTTGAGCCACCACGCCCGGCCAAGATTAAATTCTTTATGTTGCTGTTGTTTTGTAGAGATGGGGTTTCACCATGTTGCCCAGGCTGGGCTCAAGAAATCTGCTAGCCTCAGCCTCCCAAAGTGCTGGGATTACAGACGTGAGACACTGTGCTTAGCCAAGATTAAATTCTTTACTACACAAATGCCAGTGACTACAATTCAGTCAGTTCTTTGCACAGAATTGAAGCCTTGGCTAGCTTTCAGCCATTTTCCTTACTGCTCTGTATAAACCCTTCTATTCCTTGGTTCTTACCCTGATTTATTCTGAAGCCCTCTTCAAAGAGTCTCTCTCAGGAGCCAACTGCCCATGGCCCTGGAGCCTCACGGGTGCTGCCTCCATCTGAGTCCTCTCCTGCCCACCCCCTGGGCAGTACCCTGTGCTCTGGGCACTCAGTAACAAGGTCATGATGAACCCCTCTCATGCTTCCCTTCCAGGTTGCTACCATTTGGCAGGAGTTTAGAGCCTCTTCTTGCTGCACATCACACCCTACACCCTTTCCAGCATCTCAGGTGACTTTCACCGCTCTACCCATTCCCAGAACAGCTCCTGTGTTTCAGCAAGGCTAGCCTAGTGTGGCCCAAACACTCACATTCAAGGTTCCCAAGTCATACAAATGGTCCCAGGGATATTGACTCTAGGGCCTTTGTGGAAAATGCCTACTCACCCACAGGAATGGGTTGCTGGGATCATCTGAAGGGCCTGTTATTCTCAAGAGAATTCTGTCTCATATGGATTCATAGTGGATATGGAATTAGCCCAAAGTTTCAGACCTGGTCCTGTCCTGGGCTTCCTGTCACCTGTTTAAGTATCCCACAGGCTCTACCCAACAGGAGGCCCAGGAAAGCACCAAGGTTTGGGGTGGGAGCACAAGTGCAGGGACTAAAGCAGAAGTTTCCTAAGCCCTAGAGGTGTTCAAAAGTAGTCAGGGTGGCCCATGAGCGCTTTTCAATATTTCGAAGAAATGGTGCTGAACAGAACCCCTTTACCTATAATAAGGCTGCCTGAGTTAATGAAAATATCACTTTTTTTTTTTTTGCTTTGACTGTTTTTATTCCAATTCATGCTAATCATTAGTTGAAAGTAGATATATCTTTGCCTAATGTTAATGTGAATGGAATTCTTTATTAAATAAAAGTGTTTTTGATAATATATTTCAGAACAGGTTAGAATCCTCTGGTCTTGTTCACTTTAACTCTGAGGGCTGCTGGGACACTAAGCAGGGCTTGAGGGCAGAGTCAGAAGAGAAGGCCCCAAAAGCAAGAGGACGAGAAAAGATATAGAGGAGGGATGCTGGAAATGGCTGTGAGCCCACGAGGCGGGTGTGAAATGGCCCCAAAGGCTAGCTTCCACCCACTGAGCTCTGACTGTGGTGGCTGGCCTTGACGCTAGCCTCTCTTAGCCTGGGCTCTGGTGCAAGGTAAGTCTGAGCTGAGCTGAGCATCAAGGAGCTGCCTCTAGACAGCTAAGGCTAAACAAGAACTAGTTCAAGTTTACAGCAACCCCAGTTTAATCTGATATTATCTTAAGTGACAGGTAAGAGGGGAAGCATGCTATAGAGACCTGGGTGCTTGTGAGGACAACATGAGGTAATCGCTGATTAGTGAGAAGCAAAGTGATGAGCAGGTACCAGGAGACAGTGGAGCAGAGTCGTTCTTGTTCCACTCTGCATAGGCAGCTGGGAAACATTTCTGCTCTGTTCCAAAAACGAGATTTAAACTCCCACGTAAAGACTTTAGAGTCCTCCATTTTCAGTGGCTCCATCTGCCTACCCCTGGCTCCTCTAAGCTCAGTCCCCTCCCAGGACATGCAGGCACACATATGTTGGCATGCCCTCTTTTTTTCCAGCTTTGTGAAATTTCTTTTTGTTTTATTGTAGTAAAAAATATATAATAAAATATGCAATTTAAACAACTGTTAAGTGTACAATTCTGTGGCATCGTATGCCTTCATGATGCTGTAGAACCATCCCCCCATCCATTTCTAAAACTTTCCATCACCCCCAACAAATTCTGTACCCATGAAACAATATTTCTCCCATTTTCCCTCCCGTCAGCCTCAGGTAATCTCTCATCTACCACCTGTCTCTATGCATTTGCCTAATCTAGATATTTCATGTAAGTGGAATCATATATTCATTATTTTCTTTCTGGCTTATTTCACTTCGCAGGTTTTCATGTTGTAATGTATATCAGAACCATATTTTGTTTATCTATTTTCCACTGATGGGTACTTGGGTTGTTACCAGCTTCTGAAAATCATGAATAATGGTGCTGTGAACATTGGTATACACATTCTGTCTCAGTCTGTTTTTGATTCTTTGGTATATGTACCTCTGACACCACTCTCCTTGAACACATAGTATCTCCCCTCCCCACCTACTTTCCTGTGGCTGCAGTTACTGAAGCCTCACAGGGAAGGATTGGTGTTCCAGAGCCCAAGAAGCCCGCAAAGTGGAGGCAAGGTGAGTGGGCAGAGGACAGACCTGGAAACCCTAGTGCTGGGCAGCTCAGCCTCGGCTACCACCTGTGAGGGACGGCAGAGGCCTGGAATAGGTAGTGCTGCTTCTCCCTCTCTCTCCCGAGAAGCTGCCCAGAACTGCTCCTTCAGTCTCCCCCAGGGAAGAGTGGAAGTGGTAGAAAATAATAGGGATTGCCCTTCCCCTTGGCAGAGGCAAGTGGCCACTGCCCTACCCTGCCCTGCCCCTCCTCGGCTGTCCTGCTCTGCTCCCAGGAGCTGCAGCAGCACCAGGTCCTCTAGACCAACTCCAACAATATTTACACCAGCACCCAAGTTTGACTTGGCCAAGGGCACTTTCCAGCAGCCGATGTGACTCCTCAGGCCAAGCTGGCTTTCTCTTGCGCCAGAAGTGGGAAGCGGTGACTATGGGACATGAGAGGCAATGCAGGTTCTACTTTGAGTATAACCTGACCAGCCAAGCTGCTGTGAACTCATGGCCTAGACCTCAAATGAAAAAGCCATTCACAAGCAAATGAAGGGAAAATAACTGACTGGTTTTCTTAAATACTGCTTGGCTGATAATTTGGCTGTTTGGTTTTGTTTGTTTGTTTGTTTGTTTTTTAGATGGAGTCTGTTGCCCAGGCTGGAGTGCAGTGGCACGATCTCGGCTCACTGTAACCTCTGCCTCCCGGGTTCAAGCGATTCTCCTGCCTCAGCCTCCCAAGTAGCTAGGATTACAGGCGCATGCCAGCATGCCCAGCTAATTTTTGTACTTTTAGTAGAGACAGGGTTTTGCCATGTGAGCCAATCTAGTTTCAAACTCCTGACCTTAGGTAATCCACCCACCTTGGCTTCCCAAAGTGCTAGGATTACAGGCATGAGCCACCACACCCGGCCTAAATTTGGGGATCTTAATTACAATCCTCCTACAACCTGAAGCCCCCCAAAATACTTACAGTCATCACCCACAGGTCCCGCGGAACACTGGGCAGGAGGATCCCTCTGCAAGTCGGTTAATTCCTAGAACATGAGATAGTGGGTCAGAGTGGCTGTATGTTGGGGATTCTGCCTTTACACACCAATCTTGGTAGCTGGAAGGAATTCTCCTGGTGGGAGGAGGCTCCTAGGCCTCAGGAGTGGGTTAGAGACAAGGTGGGTCACAGGAGTCTACTCCCTGCTGTAAAGATACCAGAGAAGTAGGTATGATCATTTCCATTTTATACATTAGGAAATTGAATTGTAAAGAGATGAAGTTACCTACTCAAGGTACACAGCTGGAAGAGGGCAGGCAAGAAGTCAGTCACACGTAGCTCTGCCTTACCTCCAAGCCTAGCCTCCCACCTCCTCAGGTAGAAGACATCCCTAGGCCCCCAGGTGCTGAGGATATGGAAGGAAAGCAGACCAGAAGAGAGTTCTGGGAGAAGGATAGGTGCCAGGTTTTACTACTAGGCTAATGAATTAATGTATGGAAGCAGTTAGCACCAAGGAAGCGCTCATCTCTCTACTGTGCCTCCCCAACCACCATCCCAATCACCCCAGTCACCACTGGTTATGTGGTAAGTCCTAGGGCTCTGAATGTGGAGACTTTGGCACTTGAGCCAAAGTCTAACACTGCACCAGTGGGGATCGGGGATTATACCACAACTAGATTCCCTTTATGGGAAACCATCTCTGAATTAAGCCAAACACTGTCCTATCTACACAAACTCTCCTGATTTGACCATATGTCTCTGGACACGCTGATCATTTCAGTAACCACCTCTGGCCATCCTGCATTTATCCCCTTCACTTCAAATTTAATCAGCCAAGATGGAAGTATTAACATCACAGAAGCCAACAAATGCTACAAATCAGGGCCATGTTTTCTCCCCGAGGGTTGATCTTTAAACATCTACCAGTATACCACTGGCCAATTCTAATAGTATCTAATATATCTGAACCCATTTCCTCATAAGTAAAATGAATTATACTTGGAAAGCACTCAGGAAGCAGCATTAGGAGTGGTCAAAAAAGAATTTAACTTGGGAACAACTGAGGTCATGCAAGGGGACCGAGGACAGGCTCAGAAATGCAAGCGCTACAGAAATCTCTGTGGAACAGTTCCTTTTTGCTTACCTCTCTGCTATGTGCCCCTCAGCACCTCCACTATCATGGTGCAGGGGAATTGTTTACATTCATTGCGATACTGCATGGATAAATGAGCTCTATGATAGAACTGTTAAGGCAAATCCTGAAGAGGTTACATGAAGAGCCAGGGGCAGGAAAAGCCAGCAGTACAGACCAATTCCCTCTACCTCACAAGGTTTTCCCACACCTCTATGCTTTTGCACTGCCAGTATGCAGAATCCATGGCCCCTTTAGAGGTGTGATCAACAGTTACACCCACACTTAATGATCCCTGAAAGGCCGTGTGTGGATCCCCATTGATAGACTCCAACCAGCACCCAGGAGTTTTGAATGCTAACTGGCATTTCAAGGAAGAATGGTGTGACTTGAAAGAAACTAGTCCACTCACACATCGAATTCCTGTGTTCACCTCACAGGGTTAGAAGACTCAGGTCTGAGTCCGAGCTCCATCACTGAGGAAATCACTTTCACCTCTTTGGGCCTCAGTATAATTATCTGTTAAGCTGTAATCAACTTGCCTGCCAACTTGCCGGCACTATTGTATGGCTACAAATTTTGCATGTAAGTTTTTAATGTATATAATGTAAGCAAGAGCAACTAGTAAATATCATGACAATAGTGGTATAGAGAATGCCACAATTAGTATTATAAAAAGGGAGAGGAATAAGTAGAATATATATATATTTCTAGAAGAATACTTCGACACTGGTTGCCCCTCCAGGAGGGGAATTGGATGGCTAGGGACAGTCTTGGGTGGGAGACTTTTCCCTGTATATCCTTTGCACCTTTTGAACCATAGGAATTTATTATCAAATCATTAAATGTATAAATATTTTATTTATTGTAAAGGATTAAGTAGGTTAAGTTTATATAGTAATTACTATTACAAGTAACAATGATAAAAGTTGAGAAGTTCCAAAAAAGAGAAAGTAAGTTAAAGTATTGAATATTAGTAGAGAAGAGTTAAGCAAACCATGCTACACACCCAGTTATTTCTTAACTGTGTTCCATCAACTCCAAGACTCCATCCTTTGTAAGACACAATTTTACTTTACATACAATTGCGGGGGGGGGGGGGGGGGCGGGGAACATGCTGGCAAATAAGCTAACACCAAATGCTTTCTTTGCACATAAACTTTAATTTTACTTAAAAATTACTTTTATTAGACTGTGTACAGTGGTTCACACCTGTAATCCCAGCACTTTGGGAGGCTGAGGTAGGCAGATCACTTGAGGTCAGGAGCTCGAGACCAGCTTGGCCAACACTGTGAAACCTTGTCTCTACTAAAAATACAAAACTTAGCTGGGCATGGTGGCACGTGGCTATAACCAGCTATTCAGGAGGCTGAGGCACAAGAATCGCTTTACAGGGTGATGCCATGGGCAGGGCGGAGTGTCTGGGGTCTTTTGAGAGCCTCCAATCCCCAACAGTTTTGCAGAACACTGATATCTATGGACTCTAAAATGGACTTCATTTAAAGAAACCCACAGACCATTAATGGACAAAAACATGAATCAATATGTATTGTGGCATTCCAATCCTAGCACTGTGGAAGAGCATTAAGTACAATGTTTTTGAAGACCATGGCCTATCATCATTATGCATTCAAGATCTGAGTGTGAATAACCTCATCAAGACTTAGATCTTCTTCAAAAGCTTCAAGTCTCATTTGCATTAAAGCTCTCCATTGAACCCTCTCACAAAAGTACAAGCTTAAAGGGAGTAAAATCCATTAATACATTCCATTTGATATCCCTTCTTCTGACTTCTCTTCAATTTCCTTGGCCTCTGGGGCTTTTTATATTGCTTATGTTCCTTTAGAGCCAAAGTGACAGTGCTTTCCAAAAAAAGTGTGTTCTGTGGCCATAAGTTTACACTGATAGAGAAGTATAAATTTAGCATGATGAATTTAGAATTAGGTCTTTTATGGTATTCTGTAAAAAGCTGAATTAACAATAAGAAAATGAGGATGAAGCAGTAAAAATATTTTGGGTTAGATTATACTCTCAGAAGCTATGTGGTTTAGAGAAAAGGGCCTCCAACCTAAAAGTTAATAGTTACTATTTTGTCTCTGCCTTGTACTAGGTATATGGTAACCGAGAAAGTCACTTAACCTCTCTGAATCTTAACTTCATTATCTATAAAGTGTAGCTGATATTTTCCCCTCCCTACCTCACAGGGTCCTTGTGAGGAACAAGTGAAACAATGTACAAAAAGAAATATAAAATGTATAGTACAGACAAAGGGTCCTGTTACATAGTTGCAAATCATTCCCTCAGATCTTGGGCCTAGGAAGGTAGGTGATTTAAGCTCATTGAAAGCATGTACCATGTCCAGGCTGGATACATGGTAACAAGGCTATGTTACATTTTTTTTTCTCTGAGTTGAGTACCTAAAATACCACATGGGCTAATTCTAAGAAGGAGCACCAATATCTATTTTCCTATAATTATAGCTTAGCATTGTTAATGCTCTAGAGCAGTTATGCATTGTAACATATTAGTGATTTGTGAAATATTTTTACTAAAACGTGACCAGCATTTTTCTTTAAATGAAAGAATGTAGAACATTTCACAATGCATCCCACATGATAAAGAGCAAAATAAATTTTTTTAGTTATATGTACATATGTGTGTGTGAGAATGTGTGTGTACTTGGTCATTAAATAAAAAGTATTTTTTCTTCCTGTGGGGGGGAAAAAAAAAGAATTGCTTTAGCCCCGGAAGGCTGAGGTTGCAGTGAGCCGAGATTGCTCCTGTGTGACACAGTGAGACTCTGTTTCAAAAAATTAAAAAATTAAAATTACTCTTATCAAAAGAATTCTTTTAGGCTTAGACATAGCTTTGTGTGTTTCTTTTTAAGTATCATTCATGCATCCAAAAAAAAAAAAAGGAAAAACAAGTGAAATAAATAAACTGGTTTGTTCAGGTATTCCCAAAGTTTCTTCCCATTCAGAGCCCAACACTGAGTCATTGATGTCTACACAATATCATCCTCTGTGTCTTCTAAAACAATGGTAATGTGGCAATTCTTAGAGTCCTCTACTACTGTTTCTGGAGTTTTCTTTCAAGACATCAATACTTATTCTGCAAAGGCCCATGATACACAATCTATTTGCACGTATTCCAGCCAAAAAAAAAAAAAAAAAAAAATGACCCAGCCTTACCAAGTTGAGGGTAGGTGGTACCTTCCTTTCTCGGGCTATGAAGAGTTTGGTTGCTCGACATAGAATTAGGAAATTCCAGTCCTTCCTCCAACAACAAATATTTGCTTCACTAGTATGAAATTTACTCTTCACTGTCCTGTTTCTGTGCCTGTGTTCATGAAAGCTTTTCTTTTCAGTGCTAAATCACACTATCTTTTTGAAAATATTTTTAAAACAATTGTACTCAACAAATACAGTACCAGCAATGCACTTACCTCATAATGAACTGCCATGATCCAGTTTACTCATACAGATAGTGACAACTAAGTGAAGGTAACCGGCTGACAGCTATTGTAAGAAGCATCCCAATTTTAGAGATGTGAACATTTGAAAAAATATTCATCTTGAAGTAGATGAATACAGCATTATCTTACTTCCAAGTTCTCTTTATTTATTTTTATTTTTATTTTTTATTTTTTTGAGACCGGGTCTCACTCTGTTGCCCAGGCTGGAGTGCACTGGCACCATCTCGGCTCACTGCAACCTCTGCCTACCAGGTTCAAGTGTTTCACCCTCCAGAGTAGCTGGGATTGATTACAGGTATGCATCACCATACCCGGCTAATTTTTGTATTTGTAGTAGAGATGAGTTTCACCATGCTGGCCAGGCTGGTCTTGAACTCCTGACCTCAAGCAATCCTCCTGCCTCAGCCTCCCAAAGTGTTGGGATTACAGGTGTGAGCCACCA